TGTTCAATGGGCTGCTGTAATAAGCTATAAATATTTAGTTAAATGTCTGATTGACTTTCCGACAACTATAAATATTTAATCCCAGACAAGCTCAAACCAAATCAATGCTAAAAGGGTATTCAGTTTGAGTGCATTGTAGATTTTTCATAAAGCAGTTTACAAAATCAAAATTTTAGAATTTGAAATGGAAAAGCATCTGAAAACTTGCCTATTTGATAAAGTTTTGTTGTATACTCAATTCATAGCCTGAAGCTAAACTCAAATTATAGGCAATTCTACTGAGCTCACAAAGCAGGAAATGGGAAACTTACGTTTAAGTTCAAGACATTAAGTAAATAATCCAATACAAAAGTTGTAATTAAAGTAAAGTCAATGAGAACTTTGTGACTAAACAGCTTCACACACACACACACACACACATGCTCTTTGACTTCTTGCTAGCTTCTCTTTCTTTGCGTCTCTCTCTCTCTCTCTAAAATGCTTTTCTTATTGTTGCAAACTAGTCAACATGAGCTTGAGGTGAGCTGTTTCAACTTTTGCTCAGCAAACATTTGATGCCTTATGACGTGTGCGTGTGTGTCTGTGTGTGTGCGTGTTTGATCTGATATATAAAACCGCTACACACATGACTTTCGGCGGCCTACTCTGATATAGGCATATTAAATTTCTGTTGCATACCTTGAGGCTGCGTGTTAAAGATTTCACTCGTGCAAAGATTTCGCACCTCTACTGGTATTAGATCAATATATGAGCAATAATTTAAGTTCGCTTTCGCCTATAATGGAACTGCAGCCCGATGTTCCGCTCTGGAGTAATGCTCTTTTCCATTGGCGTATTTCATTGAGCCTCTGGCTCATCCATTAAATCAGCAGCGTATGGACGATGGATGTTGGTCGTTGGGCGGCCATTGGCAATTCAATTTGTTTATGGGCCATGCCGTTGGTTTATGATTTGATGGAGCCATACTTGAAATTGTACAAATATTCGTGCCTCAATTTTATTTACTGTCGTTGTTAACTTTAGATGCATTTTATGGCCTGCATAAATACAGATCTGGCCATTCCATTTTGGGTAAGTGAGAAAGTGAGAGAGAGAATGACACCGAGAGAGTGGGTGAGTGGGCTGTAAGGTCAGCTAGTAAAACGTGTATTTATGTTAAAATATTTATACATTTTTTATTTGCTGCATTAAACGTTTTTCGGACTATATTTTTTGATAAACATTAAAGAAACTCTTGGCGAAAATTAAAAAAAAAAATTACTTAGCTTATTATAAGACAATTAATAAATAAAGTAGTTATTTAGCCTTTTGTGTTCTTCATCACTCACATTGAGTGGTAATTGTGGCCATTTCCGCTTTTGCGTATGGCTTTGGCCTTTGTAGCTGCCATTGCAGCGCAAACATTCAGAAAATAATTCACTTTGTGTTAAGCATACGACACGTTGCACAAGGAGCCAGCCAAAGCCGCAACGCAACAGGGAAAATTTACCTTTGTTGCCAAAGGCACAACATGAAATGTCACATTACGCTCCAATTCAGGCCGAAGTCCAGGAAGTGGTCAAGCAGCAGCGAGGGTGATTGAGAGAGAGAGAAAGAGAGAGAGAGAGAGTGAGAGTGCAAGATGTTCGCCCCACTCTTTTTAGGCCAG